CCCAAGCTCCTCGCTCGGGGCGCTCTGGCTAGTTTCAGCCCTCTCAGCGCTTGTCCCCTTCGGTGTATTTATTGAAGAAGGAGGTACGATCTCGATCTCGGGGGACTCGAGGGATTTTTCCGAATGTCTTCTCGAAGTCCCTTCATCAAGTGGCAAGGCATCAGGGTCGGAGGCATCGACAGCTTCGATTGGTCTCCTGGTTCGGGGTATAAGCGCCGATTCTCCACCATCGTTCTCCTCATCCTTCGGGTATTGAATGGCTGAATCCACGTCCACACGAATGTGTTTTCTCCTCGGCTTCTAGGCAGGTACCACCACGTCTTGGGAGTCTTCGGGCTTCGAAGCCCTCTTTCTTTTATTGTCTTTCCCCTATTTTGGGATCAAGGGCGCAGTCTTTTGCCCAGGCGGAGCCGGCCTCATTTCGGATACATCTCCGATGCCTGAACAAGTGAACGTGAATAAGTTGACGCCACCAGCAAATGAAAAATATTAGAAACTTGGGAAGATAATTTACCATGATGTTTGGCCTCCCACTTGCCCCTCGATAATTCACGCCATTTGCGCTCATCATAAGAGGAGGTAGCAGCTAATTTTCGGACCCAATCCTTGAGGTCGGGGACCTGTGAGGTGCCCAAGCAGTGGCTACAGAAAGGTTGAAGGCATTGTGAGACATGAAAGTTGAATATGAATAAATACTGGAAGAAGAACTCCACTTACGATTAAAGTTCCATCTCTCCGGGAACGGCATTTTATCCCTGGGGATGACATCCGAAGTCCTTACTCTGACGAACCGGCTCATCCAGCCTCGACCTTTGGTTTCATCATTACTGGCAAAGAAGGCTTTCGTTGTTCGACGTTGCAGCTTGATAAGCCCTCGAAACAGCTGGGGCCGATATAATCAAATCAGGTGGTTGAGGGTGAATTCCAACCCCTCGGCCTTCTCGAGAAAATAGCGCAGCATGATCACAATGCGCCAAAAGGCAGGGTGAATCTGGCCGAGGGTAATCTCGTATGTTTTGCAGAAGTCGATCACCACCAGATCGAGGGGACCCAGTGTGAAGGGGTAAGTGTAAACACTTAGAAACCCCTCCACATGGGTAGTAATGCTTTCCTCGGGGCTAGGGATCTGAACCAGGACCTCGTCTCCCCAGCCGTAATCCCTCTTCATTGCTTCTAGGTTCTTCTCCGATATCGGACTAATATATTGAGATGCATGCTCGCATCGGCCCGGGACATCGGGGGGATTTTCTATACTGAAATCCTTCTTAATTACGCAAGGGCCGGGGGTGATTTATTCAAAAGTCGGCTGTACCACCTGTTTGGCCGGCTGAGAAGTAGAAAAAGTCAATGCTTTATCTTTTTTGGGGCATTTTGGAAGTTTTAGCCATGATCTTAAGCTAAAGAATACAGACTGTGTCGGAATGTGGTATTTTTACAAGAACCTGGCATTTTCCGGCGCTTAAAGAGGCGGTGGAAACAGATGATTAGAGAAAGAGATGAAGAAGGGAAAGATGTAATGAAAGAGTAAAGTTCTTTACTCAAAGGAATAGCCTCATATTTATAGAAGGGCAACGACGGTTCAACGGCGCTAGTGGCCGACCAATACTGGCGTGCATTCAATGTTTTGGGGAAGTGGACCGACGGGACGTTTCAGTCACTTCGAGCGCCTACGTCACGAAAATGACGTCATCATTAAAGACTCCGGGAAAGCGAGGATCATATAGTTTCTTATCATCTTACTCTAAGAAACACGGGGACTATCTGTATATGGTCGAGATCGTTTGCCTTCGATCTATATGCTCGAGGGGTCGTCCAAAGTCCGAGATCAAGCAAGATCGAGTTCGAGCTCAAGGGACCAGATCCGAGTTCGAAGATAGAGCACGACATCTACCGGGGTCGAGTATGCTCGACCCCGGAATAGTACCGCTATGGACTTGTAACAGAATGGGCTAGATTCCTGCCACGTCCCCAAGATTATGGTGCAAATCCAGGAATATGATTGTACGATTCCGTACTAGGCGGTTAGACAGCTGTATCAGGAATATTCCCTACTGTAAATAGAAATATACCATATTTAGGGTTCCCCTATTATATAAAGGGGATCCCAATCATTTGTAACATCATCTAAACATTGAGCAAAGAATATACTCTCTACTTTTTGCATACTGTTCATCAGAATTGTCCTTTAGCTTTACTGCTTTTACTTTACTTTTCTCGCTTAATTGTTCTTACTATTCTAAACCGGCCTCGAGGTCACTGCTGCTGAGTTATATTGGTTTGATTTACTTATTTCTTTCACTTCTACTTCATATTTCTTGATTATTAATTGGTATTGAATCTAATCACGTATCTTTAAAACCACAAATCAAATTTAATTGTTACTCGTATTTTTCGAGGTAAACACATTTCTTCTAAGTTAAGACATATTTACCTTTTTTATAGGTAAGTCTAGGTAAAATTTATGGTGTACTTATTTTTTTACCATTGTTACTCTAGTCTGCCCATTTGACTAGGACTAATAGCCTGTTTGGCCAAGCTTCTTTTTGGCCAAGAGTGCTTTTTTTTTGCCAAAAGCACTTTTGGCCAAAAATTGAGGTGTTTGGCCACGCTTTTGGAAGGAAAAAAAGTGCTTTTGAGGAGAATCAGAATCAGTTTTGGAGAAGCAGAAAAAAGTAGCTTCTCTCCAAAAGCACTTTTTTGAAAAGCACTTTTGAGAAAAATACACTTAGAAACAGTTTTTTATTGCTTGGCCAAATACTAATTGCTACTCAGAAGTGCTTTTCAAACTAGTTAGCCAAACACAAACTGCTTCTCACCAAAAGTACTTTTGAGAAAAGCACTTCTCAAAATAAGCTAATTTTTGCAGCTTGGCCAAACGGGCTATAAGCAAACTGGATTGAACTGGAGCTTGTTTTAAGTCTAGGTATAATGAGTTTTAATGAGGTCTTGTCATCACCAAATTAAAACTAGAATTTTGGTCACAAAAAAATGACATTAACTCTCTCTGTTTTAATGTATGCGAAATCATTTGATTGAGAAAAAAAAAGTTAGGGTTTTTTATATTGTAAGTTACTTATTAACTAATATTTAATTAAAGATCATTATTTTTTGTTTTATTTCAAAAAGAGCACATTCATTTACAATTACAGCATTTTTTCAAAATCATGTACGTTTAGTACTCTTCAAATTTTTAAACATAGTCCACAATTTAAGGATTTAATTTTGAACCATATTAATTTGTCCCTATTTCTCTCCCATCATTAATATATACTTGCCATTTTTATGAAAGTTCCCCCTCTTAGGATCCCCTTTTTCATTATTGTATCAAACAAAGTCTAAGTAAATTCACATTTTTATTCCATGTTTGAAGGTGTATATATACATATGTAATATATTTTTCACAATGTAATTATAAATATATACATATGTAATGAATATATTATGTATATTTGCCTATACCGAACTCGTTTTATGTCTATTCAACGTATAATTTTGTATACATAACGTATAAACAAATATACATATTCAATATATGTATTATGTATATTTAATATATAATTATAAATACTTGATGTGATCAATATATAGTTTAAGTATATTTAACATTTGAAACATATACTCCGTATATATATGTGATATATTTTTAATTTATATTTGATGTACATTATGTACAAACAATAACATATAAGTATATAAATATACTATTAGGATATTGAAACAAACAAATTTACTATGAAAATAACTTTAAGTTTACAGATCCATAAAATACTTATAATATTTCACTAACCTAATTATATTGTTATTACTATATACGAAAATAACAACTAAAAAAATATAAAATAAGTGCTACTTTCCTTTGGAGGATTCGTACATATATGCTTTTTGGTTGTGACATTAATGTTAGAAGAGAGATGTGTGTTGAAGGTAATTAAATGGGTTGTATAATCTGATTAAACGTTTTGGTATGAGTATTAATAGGACTAATTTTCGATAATTAATATTTAATAGGACTGATTTTCGGTCCTTTGTTTTATTAGAATCTATTCACACATGTGGAAACTTGATTTTTGTTCCAGCATTATATGTTTTGGTCAGGACTATAATTAATTAAGTGCTAGTTTGTTAATTACTAATTCTTGCTCTGAATTTTTTTCTTGAATATTGCCTAATTATGTCTTTTCCCCAAAAAGCTAATAGTACTATTTTTTTGACTTGTATATAATTCTTTCCGTTGAAGCAGGATGCTCCAATTAATCTTGCTCTTTAGTACTCCTCCCCTCATTTTTACTTGTCCACCATGGACTGAACACACCTCTTAGAAATAATAAATAAAGTGTATAATATACTATAATACCCATATTAATTGATGCATATTTTTAATAGATTTGAGAAAAATAATTTGAAATGAGTAATTAATAATGTGGGTATAACAGGAAAAAAAAAATTGTCTTCTCTTGATATGCAAAAGTGACAAGTAAAAATAAAAATCTATTTTTAAAATACTGAACAAGTAAAAGTGAATGGATGGAGTAAATAATAATAAGAATTATTTTAAAGTAATAATTATAAAGTTAATGGAAAACAAACACATCATACTACTTCGGGGCAGCAAAGTTGGTTGAGTAGACCCTTCTGGACTTTTCAAATAGGAGGTCAAGGGTTCGAAACGTACTTGCATACTTCTCCTATCGAGCTTGCCTAGTGTGGTTTACTTTTCCTTGTGATTTGGAAACTGTTTATAATTCATAATGTAGAAAACTTTAACAAGTTGGTACCAAATATGGATAAAATAGAACAAGTGGGGTATTAAATAGAAATGTTGTATAATAATGGGGGTTAAAAGACAACAATAATTGAAGATTCTGGTCTCTCCATGATCTCTTCAAACAAAGAGAAAAGCGAGGGAGACAACTGCGAAGCACCATATTGGAGGACCGCTGAGCTGATTATTCCTATATATTTTAGGTAAATTTTGACCTATAACTCCTTTTTTTTTAAAAATTTTCTTTGAAGAAATAGGTTTCTGTGTTTTTTTCCTCTGCGTAGTTAACATGATTTTGGTTCAATTATATTGATTTAGTTAATTTTCAGCTGCTTGAAATTGTTTGTGTTGTAAATCTTCTGGAACAATCTTTGTGCTTTTTTAGTGAAATTATTTTTGAATTATCTTAATGAAACAAATAAATATTCCAAAAATCATAAAATAGTTATAGTGGAAAAGGCTTGTAAGTTTCTTCTTGACTCTTTTAAAAGCTTTATTCTGTAGTTAGGAAAGCTGTTTTTTTTTTTTAGAAATGGTTATTTGGTAATTTTGAGTATTTAATACTCCACTTAGTTTACTTTATGTTATCAGATGATATCAATTATTTTGTATAGTTGATAGCAAGAGGTGGATCAGAGCTTTTCAGTATTGGAAGATTGAAAATGTCTGAGGGGGAGGTTAAAAAAGTCTCACGTCAAGATATACAACTGGTAAGCATTGAGCTTAAATCATTGGTTTTATGTATTGGTTGTATAAATCATTTAAATGGAGAAACATGGTCAGTGAGGACTAATAGTTGTTCCGATTTAAGACGAAGTAGTGTAGAACGCAATGGAAGAAGATAGAGCATGCATTTGTATCTTTGAACTTATATATATTAGGTATTTGATTGCACTTTACTCCTTAGATAGAAACGCCCTTTGTAGTTGCAACTCTTTCAGTTAATTCGGATTAAGGCACTTCAATTCCTCGAGAAGATTTTCCTAACTGTGCATTTCCATAAACTTGCATCTTTTTAATTGAAGAGACTGCCAGAATATGTAAGCAAGGCTATTATTTGGAACTTTCTTATTAGTTTAATGTGGATGCCTGGGCAGGGGCGGAGCTACAATATCAGGTACGGGTCCCAGTAGCTTTTGCTGAGATCCTGTATTAGTATTAGAAAATTCATTAAATATGTGCAAATATACCCAGTAACTAAAACGAGTTATGGGTTCGGTGGAAAGTTCAGAACTCATAAATTTCAATTCCTAGCTTTGCCTCTGTGCTAGGTTGTGCTTGTGATTATTGTCTAAAAGCCACACACCATCTCCCTTTCAGTCAGTTGTGATAAACCTACAATTAGATCAGTTAATGATAACCTGAATCATCTGCTTGAAAGGAAGCATTTGATGACCCATTTTTTTGTTGTTGATAAGCACTGTGGTTAATGATGTAAGCAGCAAGAGGGACTCGATGTTGTATGGAGTCCTGACAATCCCGTAGAAACATATAATGTTCTGTCAGCTTCAGATTCCTATTATGAAGTTTGTGATCATGTAAATTCATGAGTCTTTGATGAATGATTCCGGATAGTTGTTTGGATAGAGGAGATGCCGCTCCTTTTCTTTTTCTCCCTTAGAACATATAGACTTCAGATTCAGAATACGCAGAAGTCACAGCGCACAAGTTGTTACCTGCCAATTGTTATAATAAGGAAGATGTTCGTGTAACTTATCCAAATAAAAGGAAAGATTTAAGTAATTTCTCATACAAGTCAACAATCAGAAGACATGATTCCAGTTAAAAGGGTAGAAAATAAATGTGGACTTTTGCTTCCCTTTTGAAGATGTAGCTAAATTATGATAGAGAACAGTAATCTCCTTATGGACCCACCAAGTGCTAATTAACGTTTTTTTGAATTTCCAGAGGAAATTTATCAAACAGAACAGTACTGCAGTGTTCTCATGGACCTAGACAATTGCTTGTAACTTTTTGCGTAATTTTTCTCAGAGATGGGATTCTGAGGCCTAGCTTAGATGTTCTATGTTAGGGGCTTAGGGCTGATGCAGTTAATGCTTTCAAATCTGTTATAGGTTTCTAATTCTGTGTATGCAGCGTCACCGTTCATGACTTGCAATTATGTTTGCTTGTTAGCTAATCTTCTGCTATTGGGTTTGTGTTGTTATAATTAGAAATTTGGAACTCTAATTGTTGTTAGTGTGGCATAACTTTTGCATCCTTAAGTTCATTTTTACAGGTTAAGAACTTGTACAATTGTGAAGTTCTTCCTTGTTGTATAATTGCTGCAATTCCGCATGCATTAGTCTCTTCTGACACTGAGCTTCTTTGATTTCAGGTGCAAAATCTGATAGAAAGATGCCTACAGCTTTATATGAACCAGGAGGAAGTTGTCAAAACCCTCTTACATCAAGCAAAGATTGAGCCTGGTTTCACCGAGCTTGGTTCGTCCTTTCTCATCCCAACGTCTGGTTCCTACTTATTGCCTATATGAAGCTAGCACAGTACCATATCTATACAGAGATAATTTTGGTATTCAGTGGCATGCAGATTGACCTGCTATATACTTATACTAGTATTCAATGACCACGGAAAAAAAAACTACAAAAGTCATCCTGTTAACAGAATTGATCCAATGAACAGGACAGAATTGTTAGAACTTATCATTTTTATCTTTCACTGAGAAGCACTCGTTCACCTACTTCTATTTCAAAGAAAGAACAAGTAACTAGAGGAACTAATTTTCAAGCTTAAGTGTGATAGAAATGAGATATCTAAAATTTTTTTTGTTTGATTCACTTGGTCAATCTTTAATTTCTCAAGATCTGTAAGCAACGTGTGTTATCTATATTCTCCATGTGTATCTCGCGGAAGAGATGAATCTGATATCTGGATGTTTTTCCAGTGTGGCAGAAGCTTGAAGAAGAAAACCCGGAATTTTTCCGGGCATATCATTTAAGGTTGATGTTGAAGGATCAAATAGAGAGATTCAATGTTTTGCTTGAGAGACAGGTTGATGCAATGCAGATGTATCCAACTGGATCAATTCCCATGTCTAATGGATCTCAGATTCGACAAAGTACGGCATAATATCTTAGATTGCCATGTTGATCTTCCTAGAGATCATTATTCTGCTGCCTTTTTTCTTTTCAATCGCATGGTAATATTCATGATGGATTCCCACCAAGCCCAACAAATTTCTTTTTGATTTTGAATTTACGTTTACACGCTTTCTATTAGATTTCTGTCTTTAAATTTTTAGAAAAATAATTGGCTCATTAAGTTTTAGAATGAATGGCTATGGGAAAGGTTTAAGCCATGAAAGTGGCTGAGAAAAATGTGAATTTTGCAAACAGTTGTGGACGGTGTATATTACAAATGGAAAAAGGAAGTTCCTAAGAGGGTGTCTTCTTGTTCTGAGATTGAGTACTCGTTGAATATGGAAATGTGATGGAGTTGATTGCCAGATTTTGATGCGTAAAATGGCATAGAAATCTGATAGAGATAGTGGAAGCAAGAGATGAAAAGCAGGCTTCTCCTCACCATAGCATAAGTTTTCATTTGATGCCTTAGGATTTATTTGCAATGTCATAAACCTCTGCATATACTTCTTTCTCCATTTAATAAAACCTACACAAACAAGAATTAGGCTATTTAATTCAAATTTGCCTTGATTAGGGTCAGTTGATATATATTTAAGCTAAATCTAGTTTTTATTTTGAACTATGGACCTTAGCATGTGCTTTACTTCTTGCTTAAAGCCCAGGAGCATTGTTGCTTATTTTTTCCCCCTTTTTAATTCAAAAAATACTGCATCTTTAGGTGGCTTTAATCCCTCACTTCACACACGGCAAAGATATGAGTAGCTTGTCAGCAAGCTTCAATCCTTAATTATGGATTACAAAGAAACCTAACCAACAGATCACAAAGTTTATAAAGCGGAAACCTGCGGTTCATCTTATTCTTTTCGAAAAATGGTCAACAGCAGCATTATTTATCTCCTATGAAGTTCAAAGCAGATGTTGTAAGCGATGGATGTGGTATTCCGTTCAAATTTGATGTGTACTCATGTTGACAGGACCAATTCCAATCTGATATTAACTGAACTAAGTGAAGTGTTCCTGTATCCTGTTCCTGCATTTTTCCTTGGCTGAAGAGGCAGATCCTAGTATGCACACATCATTATACCTCAACTTTATTTAGTAATTTCAGGTTCTTAGAATAGTTGAACTGTCATTCCCTATTTTCTTTGTTGATTGTTTGCTTATGTTTGCTTCCTTCTTTCCCGCTAGGTAGTTCATAAACTGTACTACATTAGCCTTTGCTACTTATGTTGTTTGGATTCAGCCAGAAGGAAGTGTAGACAAATTTGCATATTTATCAATATGCTATTCTCTGAACTGCGGTGCAACATTGAAATTTTAGAGAGTTTCATGCTTGATTATGCAACCGTTTCATTAGTGAATTATTGAATAAGGAAATGAAGGTTATCTGATGGCTATTACACATTGACAGTCCCACAGAACACAACATGTCAAACAACAGATCATGCTGGACCTAATGTGAAGCCTGAGAATGTGCACCAGACTGTTAATGCCAATTTATCTCATGTATATACCAACGGTGCGTCCTCGCTCCAACCATGTATGCAAACTGCTACTGATGTGTCTGCTCATGCAAGAAGAATTGATGCATCCTCAAACATGCTATTGGCTCAGAGCTCAAATTTGGGAATGCTGCAAGGGGTGAGAGGGGGAATGATCAAGTCAGAAGCTGGTTATTCAGGCACTTTACCCTTCCTGTATGGTACTGAGACAAATATCCTCGAAGCTCATCATGGAATTGCGGATCCATCTGTTTCATCTTTCAGCAGTGTAGAATCAAATTCACAACCAGTAAATGAGACTGTATTAGATGCTGATACATCTTCATTTGGTTTCTTGGGGCAGATTCCTCGAAACTTTAGTTTGTCGGACTTAACGGCTGACTTTTCTAACAGTTCTGGTTTGTGCCTGCCCTCTCTTTTGGGTTAATATTTGTCTCAAGTGCACATTCTAATGCTTTGAATTTCTGTTTATTTGTAGATATTTTGGAGAGCTATTCTGGATCAGCCTACCTGGCAACGGATGTTAACAATTTCCTGGATCCACAAGGTCGGAGAGAATATCATGGTTAGTTGTGTAGCATCTGTTGGTTCCGTTAACCTGGTAAACAAGTGGTTAAATCAATGCCTCATATTTTAGCAGACATTAAAAGGTTGGATGCTATATCTGAAGGCTTGAGCTTCGAAGATTTTGCCAGTGATTGAATGAACATTAAGATGGTACTACTTTGTCTTGAATTTAAACTTATCCATTTCGGGAGTATAGTTTACAGGAGTACACCAGCTTAGTGTTACTAGCTGAGAAATTTGTGATTTGTACTGTATTTGTTGTTAAAACTTACAGTTTCCAATTCCAACACGCGCTCTTTGTTGACATTTTTTCTCTTTGTATGGTTGTAATTGTTGCAGGTACAATTGCTCCTGGAGTAAAATGGTTTTGTAAATAGGGTTGCGAAAGAGAGAATGATTTGAGCCCTTCTGAATGTATTAGTTGGTTACTTTCAAGATAATTATTTAATCATTATGGTTGACTTGCCTGTTGTTCTGGGATAAGCAGGAAATAATTTAAGCAAAAGCCTCTTGGAAGTTGGTTCTCCTGCTTAATCCTAGAAATAAAGCTTTGTTGCTAGTTTTGTTAATATGGTCGTGATTAATAAGATCTGATGTTTGTATTTAGTTTCTCTTGTTTTTTCAAAAGAAAGTCTGATGTAATATCTTCTCTAAGGATGAAATTATGTTTCTCTTTCTACATCTGAGAAGAAATCTTTTATGTCCGTATTATCCATCTCAAATTAAAGAATCTATTTCGGACTTAAAAGACGGTATGCTTCAACACTTGCATCAATTGTTAAACATGTATAGATTATTTTGCCAGTCTCAAAATTACAAACCAAAGGTGTAGAAACAACAAACTGGATTAGCAACATGCCATTAATTCATCACCTTTATCTGTCAACTCTTAATGTTTAACAAAAAATCAAACTTGAAAAATCCAAAGAGAACAAAATTGATTACACGAGTAGTAGGATTGCTCGATATCAATGACATTTTGACTAACCTGCAATATGCAATTCATCCATGAGAAGAATTGATGCTACAGGCACTACAATTGAAAGTACAATTTAAGGTTGGGTTGATTCCACAAGCTTAAATTAATCTTTTATGCTGGCCCAGTCCTGAGAGCATAGTCTAAATCATCTATCAAATCATTGACATCTTCAATCCCAACAGAAATTCGAACTAGATCCTCAGTAAGACCTCTAGCCTCTCGTACTTCAACAGGTATGCTCGCATGGGACATGAAGCAAGGCAAGCTTATGAGTGACTTGACACTTCCTGCAAATTTGAGGACAATACAACAATGTTTGAGGCAGACGCAAGAACAGGAATATAATAAATGGCATCAACATAGGCATAGTTTTGAATTAAATATGAAGCTAACGATCTTGTCTAGCATAAACACAAGAGGTCATTTGATGAATCATTTGCGTCACTCTGTACCATTTTCTCATTAACTGCAAGTTCTAGTGGGTTAAATGTACAAAAAGCAAATTGTTTTTCCGGAATTATGACAATATGAATAAAAGTAGGATGGAATTATATGACGCAAAAAAATCTTTTCTAGCAAGAACGCAACGTCAATTTGATGAATCATTGGCGTCACTCTGCACCATTATCCTGTGGACTGCAGGTTCAAGTGTGAAGCGCACACAATCATTTTTGCTTTCCATGCGGATGTTCGCATGCATGAGTTATTTACAATTATGACTATACAGATTAAAGCTGGAATTTTGATTCCTAGCTAATTTTCCTAAAGACAAACCAAAAGACCTAATTGGTTGTCATACATTTTCTCTCTTGCCATTGGAAGTGTTCCACGGATAGCAAATAAATGCTTGAGTCAAGTTGGATATCAAGCAGTCCAATGTACCCATGGTTCCCTATGCTTCTTATTGGTAATTATGTCTCCTTTATTGCTGTTGCACTAAGGCAAATTACCCATGGTTCCATCTTTCTGCCTAGCCCACTCTTTCTTCTTCTTTTTTTATGAAGAAAATAATTGATAACAAGTAATTGGGGGCGTTCCGAGAAACAAACCCGGGAATATTGTTTGGTCCTTCTTTCTGCCTAACCCATTCTTAGAGTGTATTATTTCACGTGGTATTCAAAAGGCAACGTTGCTTTGGTACTTCTCACTAATCCATCTATTCTACACAGGAGCAGACACAACTGAGAATACCCAATTTCTGGGATGAGGTTTTCAGCCTCTAATGGAACATGGTTTCTGTTTTACCAACGCAATTTGCATGTATACTTTTATCAAAAGGGAAAAGAGTCGTAAAGCTGACGTCTTAAGAAAGTGTATGTTTTGATAGGAAAAAAGTGATAGTATTATTGGAAGAAGTAATTGAGTATAAGATGAAACTAACCGAAACTGACAGTAATGCTGAAGTATTTGGTAGCTTCAGCCACATGCTTAGAGAGCGCCAAAGAACCTGTCAGAAAACTTAACACCGATCCTGCACCCCTGGCCTGTAAATAGATCAACATTTCAGACATATATTTTTTCAAGGAAAGCTTTCAGGTCAGGACGCCTGACAACCATAGTGCTTCAGTTCAAAATTCCCCAAATATTCACATGTTTAAATACCTGAGAAAAGTGCAAAGATCTCCCCGGATGATCTGGAAGACCTGCATAGTTGACCTTCTTCACCCGTGGATGGGAAGATAAAAATTCAGCAATTTTCTGTGCATTTTCCTGCCGGATATTAAAATTAATTTATTAGAACTCAAACCACCAAACTGAGGAAATAATGATCATGTTTTCAAACATGCACCTCCAAGTATACATATGTAACATCAATAGAATCTTTTACAAACTGAGCATATTTTGCTTTTAATAGCAAGTGGTTGCTTTTGGGGATCCATGCGAACTTAGCAAAAGATAGGGCGCAATAGAAGAAAAAGATCTACATATACAATGCATATTAGAATAATATGTTTTAGACGTCAGCACATTTACTGTAGGTCTTATGCTTTCAGCTTTCTAGGAGTGGTTTAGCCTTTATGAGATTTATACATATAGAAAAAGGTACAGTACTTCAAATACTTTTCATTTATATTGGCATGAGATGATTTAAATGGAGAACGTGATAAATGAGGATTCATACAGCCGACCCAACTTGTTTGAGACTGAGATGTAGTCAATATCGTTAAAGCAAGTATATAAACCACCTCGTCTAAAAGCTTAGCGATGAGAAATAGCACTTCTATTTATACAAGTATATTTCATAACATGCCCCTCATCGTGGGTCAAATTTTTTTCCATTGACCAAGTACATAAAAATCTTGTTATGATAGGTGCGGATGAGACTCTACGTGCTCCAATACCATGATGAATGTGAATCACCTCATTTAATAGTTTAAGCTATTAGAGGTAACATTTTTCTTTGTTTAGTTGCATCATAGCACGCCACCTCACGTCTAGGCCAAAATCTTTTGGTAGGCCAGGCCCATGAAAAAAATTCTTTGATGGGTGACAAGACTCGAACTCAGAACCTTTATCTACTTTGATACCATTTTTAATTTTGTAAAGCACCACATTTAAAAGCTTAATCTATCATAGATGAGATACTCTTGTTCATTTGATTATGTCGTAACAAGTAAATTACAGGTACCAACTAAGTTAGGTAAAGAGAGGGACAGAAGGGGAAAAGTAATTAATTCTCATACTACTCGTATGTCTTCAATTAAACACAAAATAAAGCTAAATGGATAAATAAGATAGACTTGCCAGTTTCTCTAATTTCACAGTTTTCAAAAGTTCAGAAGTAACCCTTTTTGCAATCTCAGCACTTAGTTAAGATAAAGTACCGTTTGCATCACCTTATCATGGCTAAATTTAATAGAGAGAAGAACAGATTACAAACATGCATAACTTCTCTGAACCATATAAAGTTGAAGATGCAATAGCGTGCATGCCAATAGTAATAAGAAATTAAGAAAGCAAAGGAAGGCATAGATGTTTCTATAAAGAGTCGATTAGTTACACCACAGAAGAAAGAAAAACAAAATAAAATTATACCTGTTGTTTTTCAACGCGAAGAGCCATTGTTTTAATCCCTCTTAAACAAAGCCAACAATCAAATGGTGCTAACCCTGCACCTTCAGAATTTTGTAGGAAGTATATCTCCTTTGCCAAGCTGATTTTGTAGGAAAATTTATAAGCACATTACCAAATGGACACTTGAGATGTCTAAGAGAAACGAGCTATCAGACATCATTTACCTTCAATACTTTATACATATAACCTAAGATGCTCGGACTCGGGTGTGGGTATCCGATACGCGCATGGATCCGAGTGTCGGATTCGGCAAAATCTTAATTTTAAGATTCAAGGGTGTGGATCCAAGTATGGATACGGTGCAGGCTAAGTAAATTCAAAATTATAAAAAATAGAGTTATAAAGATATTATACATTTTGAGAGATATTTTATGAAAAACTTGCATGAATATTGTACAATTGAATTCTTGGTTTTTCTAAAACACGACGCAGCAAATATGAGACAAAAGTACTATAATATTGAAGGTATGCCATTTTCCATGTCTTAAATCCGTTTTAGTTTTAATTTTGACAAATCAAAATCTCCACCCCCCCACCCCCACCCCCCAAAAATAATTGTAGATGGACTGAGGTCAAAGTATCCGAAGTTAGTTGACCGAATCCGGGACGTATCCCGTACCCGCACCGTGTGGAGGCGGGTGCGGCACCAAAAACGAAGAGTCCGTGCAACTTAGCATATTAAATTTGCAGATATAGTTTTGTCAATGAACTAATCTCCTAAACTTCATGTTCAATTATAAGGACAGCATCAATTGCTACCTATAGTAATGTGAAGGCTCACGCACAGTGAAGGCCCTTAATCCAGTTCCAAAATATAGGATGAAAAGTTCCGAGATTCCATTTCAAAAAGGGAAAATATGCGAGATATTGTCCTTTACATCCTCTAAAGCAGTCCAAAGAGAATATAAATCTTATTTACATAAGGGGAAAGGAAAAGGAAGCATAATTTTATCAGCATTTGCTACCTTTTCTTGGACAATTCTAGAGTTTCAGTATGGGTAGCTTATTCATTACAAGATAAACCAATAATGTGATAGATACTTATGAACTGAGGTTCACTAGAGTCAAGCTCCTAATGTGATAATTGGTTTTGGCCCAGAGAAAACAAGTGAAGAAGAACACTGAGGATAACCAATCATAAGATAAGAATAAATGGGAATATGAAACATATATGAATAGAGTTTAAACCTTTCTCCTCTGACAGCAAGTACACCAGCCATGAGATCACTATGACCAGAAATGAACTTAGTAGCTGAATGCATCACAATATCTGCAAAAGCATGGACAAGTAAACCAGCATCACATGCATGTTGCTGGAGAATATTCCACTTAGCGGAAGAAGTATTTGAACATACCTGCTCCGAGCTCCAAAGGATGAGACAATACTGGGGACATAATGCTGTTATCTACCAGCACAAGAGCCCCATGAGCATGAGCTATCTTGGCTATTTTCTGGATAAAATCAGAAGAAAGGAAAGTATGAGACAAGTCATTATATCACTATCAATCGGCTATGATAAAAACAGAGAACTGTACATAATCTACATATGCCACTGCAAATTACCCACACGAATATCACAAATTTGTTGACGGGGATTGGTTGGACTCTCCAGCCAAACAAGCTTTGTCTGTGGATGAATTGCAGAGGCAACCTCATCTACATTAGTTGTATCCACTCGCCTGTACAATAAGGTGACAATCAAAATTATAACAACCTAATTGAAAACTAAGCTACCTCAAGAAAAGAGGTACCAACTTGACCAGAATCCCGGCTCTTGGAACTACTTGTGACAGCAGCCGGTCAGAACCACCATATATGTCATCCCCGGCAACAATCTCTTCACCTATAACACATCAAAAGATTTCAAGATATTCTTTTGTTAGCTATCATTAGCTAGCAGATATGTCAAGAAAGAAAATACAGCATGAATCAAATGAAGATACAATGTCTCAACCAACAAGAAAGTATAACCATATCCAATGAGTACAACAAACTAAGAAGAAGAAGTGCTAATGAAGTTTGTCGCATAATTTATCTGATATACACATGCTCGGTCATTTTTATGCAAATGCTTCACGTGTGTGATTTTTATATATACCAGTTTGAAGAAGACGAGTTACAGCTGCCAAGGCGGCCATTCCACTAGTAAAGCAAAATGCTCGATCTGCTTTCTCAAGCTCTGCAAGGAGCCTGAAAATTTTTAAAGGTGGTAATGGTAATGATAACAATAATGTTAACTTCCAATTAGTAGCAGTATGCACACAGTTTGACATACTTTTCCAATACATCCCTTGTTGGATTTCCACTCCGAGTATAATCATATGGACCATTTTCAGTTGCCGAAGGCTGCAGAAGGATGTAGAGACAATCAAGGTTAAGACAAGCTTTTTGTTACTTATGTCTATGAAGCAAAGAACTTTAACTTTTAGGCTGTTGATTATAGGCTGAAGGCTGAATCAGAAAACCAATGTGATGAGAGAGTTGAAGCAACACGAAGTTGCGACAGATATTCTACACAATTGAAGCAATGCAAAGCATGTAATACTAACTCTCCATTCCTATCCTTGTTTCATGTGATAATATTTGCAAATTGCTGCATATCTTGATCCAATATATCGGACAAAACCTCCAAATGTTGTGACGATAATTACATATCAACTAAAGATAGTAAAAACAAGTAACTAAGGAACATAGTTAGCAAGATTGCACCGTCAAAATTCTTCCGAAAGAAATTGCTGTACAAAAAAATGCAGTTTTGCAATGTAGTATGAAATTGCATTCCACTACCAAGGTATCTTCAAACTTACTTGCTTAAACGTAGACGTTTGATACAAGGGGGTACTTAAGGCACCGAAAGGATCAAACTCGTTACTGAAGTTCATCAACATTGTTGAAACACTTGGCTCCTTTGCTTCCCTAGCCTCCACTCGAGGAGGCAGTTCCACTACCCCGTTCTCTGCCATAAATCAATATGTACAACTTAGTTCTAAGATTAACCAAATAAACAGAACTCATTTATCCTCGTATACAAATTGATTTGTTACAAACCATCAAAGCATTCAGCAACACTATCGACCAAAGTTGATGCAGTGAGATCCATCTCTTTGTCGATCGAGCAATTCAATTCGAATTTCTTTTCCGTTAGAGTTCCCTTCACATTGAAGGTTGCTTTGCACCCAAATGCCACCTCAAAATTTACAGGTAATTTACCCTACACATTAGCACAACCTTCTATCAGGAGCAAAATTTTGCCATTTGTTTTGCTGCTCAACAAATATGAGTAAGAGCAATCTACTACTCCCTCCGTTCCAATTTATGTGAACCTGTTTGACTGGGCAAGGAGTTTAAGAAAAAAATGAAGACTTTTGGAATTTGTGGTTCTAAACAAGTCAAAAAGGGACCCAGAGTAGTTGTGTGGTTATAAAAGCTTCTTATTAAGGGGTGTAATTGTAATTTTAAGCTAAATTGTTTCCAAATTTAGAAAGGGTTCATTCTTTTTGGAACGGTCCAAATAGGAAATAGGTTCACATAAACTGGAACGGAGGGGAAAAAAAGGCCGGAAAACAACAAAAAAATGATGCCTTAGCTTAAACAAGTGTTTTACTTTGACCCAAAAATATCTCAGGAAAAAAGAGAACGAAAATATTTAAAATTGCTTTATATTACACATCCTTTATGTTTCCCAGAAGAAAAATTAGTAAGGCAAAACAGTATAGAAGTATAAAGATAATAACTTTTCAACTTCTCAGGCTAAAATGTCTCTACTTTATATATATTTTTATGTTTTTAGAGAGCCCCCTAAAACAAGAAACAAGTGAAGCTCATAGAAGCATAAAGATGTCAACTTTACAATTTCTCAGGCTTAATTTCTTTACTTTATACATTGTTTATGCTTCCCAGAGGAAAATTAGGGAGCCCCAAGAAGCAAAACAATTCTGGTGAAGCTCTTGAAGCATTAAAATATTACAAAAATCATAACTTTATTCAATTTCTGAGGCCTAAATTGAGTATAGATAACAACCCAGTTCAAGATTTGTCTAATTCTTCTTTCTGCCAATGATTTATCCACCAAAAAAAAAAAAAAAAATAAACCCACATGAACATATAAATCATACTATTGGGTAACAGGGGCAGGGGCAGTCACTTACATGGGTGTTTTGGTAGGTAGGCAGAACGCTGAAGGGCTGCTTGAGAGACACAGAATATGACATTTTCAAAAATTGTCTTCTTTCTCAATAAGGACTGAAATCATGTAAATTTGCTAATATATAAGCCAAAAATTTTGTTATCATTAATTCCAGGAGTTTTTTTTTCATGATATCTAATTAAGTAAAGAGGGATGCTATTTAATTTTGATTGTACCTAAATTATTAGCTTATTCACTTCTCGGTGTGTGATTATTTTTAGTTTTATGAAAGAAAATTTTATATTTAGTATTTACTTGAAAAGTACTATAAATCATAAACTTTTTGCATTTTAAAAATTTAAATAAATTTCTTTGTTTGACTCCATATTGATAAAAGTTGTGTCAAATGAGTTAGATAGAATAGTAAGTTATTCGTTTAATGTGGGTAATAACGAAGGGTACAATCACATTCGTGAAACTTTTTTTTTTTAATATTGAGATTTTTATTTTTTGATCTTACAATTTAAGTTTTAAATTATTGTAATTTATCATTAATGATCATGATCTTAAGTTATTTTCGTTCTATATTGAACATAAATGATGATATACTATGCCCTGATTTTGAAACAAGTTATATTTCTCTACTATTTTTTCCAATTTATACATGGAAAATAAATAATTTTCAATAATAATGATAAACAATTATATCATACTATACCATATTATTTGGCACAATAAATGATTTAACTAATGATCTTTTATTTGTTAACTATAATCCACTAGTAGGAATAATTTTTTATTATTATTTTCACACTGGATTATCTCTTCATCAAACACATGCTAATTTGAAGTTTTGAATTAGTTTCGTAATTTTTTCTGTAAGATAAAAATAAAAATAGTTTTTCGTGTTCAGCGAGTAAGCATTAACCTTTTGATGGTTTATTAGGAGTATCTGTAAAATTTCCATTTCAATAGATCTAACTTAAGCATGAATACACTACACGTCTTCCAAATGTCAATTAGGTATCCTTAAAATTTCCTTTCTCACTTTCTGATCATGTGGCGGTGCATATATGACGCCCTAACATTTCCTCGTACCTCATATACATACAATATACGCGTATATAACGTCATCTGGTCATGGGACAATGTACATGTATAAATGAATGCAAGGCATAAGGAAGTAAGTCAATAAGATTCCTTTCTCATTTTGTGCTATGGGAGTGGAGTATTAAATTGTATATGTTGAGCTCAATGTCTCGAGTTTTCTGGGTTTTAAATGAGAGCTCAAGTTCATAGCATGCACCTCATCTTTTTGACGAGAGAAAATATCTAAACATTTACACCAACCCAATTAATATACATTCTCACCTCACTTCTATCACTAGCCATAATAAAATTAATATCGTTTGATACAAACACCGCGTGTGAATAAGTTTTCCTGTCATAAGCCTTATAACAATTGTCAACCTAGTAATGAGCTTCCTTCGTAAAATGAGCTTAACTAGCTTCTGAACCTGGCATAAAGCACATACAACACTTGGTTAAGCACTTGAGCTCACTTCAACTCTCTACTCTGCCAAAAATGTATCCAACATTATGTGACCATTTTAGGATTGCAATGTCTTCTTAAGTGACCAGGACAGAAAACATATGTACACCTTTCCTATATTTCCTAAGTTAACATTTGGAATGGCTTGAGCTCCTTTTAATGAGAAAGCAAACTGATTCTAAATTTGTAGAGAATGATTAACATATGTGGAAAAAACAAGTTATCAAACATGGAGAATTGAGTCTGCATATGATGCATAGAATTGGCTCATAGTCTCCATAGAACTCAAGCCACAAACTGAATATTGCATATTTATCAGGAAAATGATCCAAAATATGCTTAGGCTCACAGACAAGGGCAAAGAGAAAGACATTTACTATCTACAAAGTTAGCATACAGAACATGTGTCAGGAATGTCAATTGCCCTGAATAAAATGAAAATGCACAGAAGCATCTAATTCTAAGAGGGTGGATTAGCTCCTACGGCTGGACCTCGTGGTTCTTCTAGTGGAAGTGTAAGTTTCAAGGTTTTGATCACTTTTACTGCTGTTTTTGGCTCTGGATCTATAGGCACCTGCAAATATTCAAGTGTTAGTTTTCACCCCGTTGGGAAAAAAGTTGTGAAAGGACATAGGACATGTGAGGGACCTCGGGGCCGATTTTTAGGAGATTGAACTTCATTTTCATCAATTGCTGAATCAGTCACCTCACTGGAAGCATGAGAATTTGCTTCCGACTCAGCAGATCTTGGTTCCGAAGGTGAACATTCTGTTTGCCCTTCCATTGATGGATCAGTGACTTCAGAATCTGTTCCATGATTAAGAAAACTAAGTCACAGAAAATTCAAGAGAACGAAATAAGGCATTGTTGCCCCTTCCCATCATAGATCATCAGAAATGGAACAGATACGACGATCCTGAACCATGTTGGCTTTTAGAGCTTTTTCACAAGCATCTACATCATAAATGTATCAAATTCTGGAAACTCCCATCATATGAATTTTTAATTAGATTGTAAAAAATTACAAGTGAAGGATCAGCTATTTATATAAAGTACTACCACCTAAGGTTTTGTTCACAGCTACTACCTCCTCCACATTGTTTTAAAATTCTTTCGAGGAATTAAAACATAAATGACTGTATATAATTAAAGAGACAAGCATGAAGCTCTGGTGCCCTCCTCCATAAAAAAGTTGAATTGAAAATAAGAACCTTGTAAATAAAACAAGGAAAAGTAATAACTGAATGAACGGGAAATAGACTTGAAGAAGTCTACCTTCAGTAATTTCAGATTCACCGATTTCATCTTCTTCGGTTTTAGTCACCACGATGTTCTCCAAGCTCTCCACTTTCTGTTGATGGCTTTGAGCATTTTTGGCAGTAAGTTCTTGTTCCTTCCTCTCTATGTGGAACTTATTCAGCTTTTCCGCAAACTCCTCAATGCATGATCTGAGTTCAGGTTTAGCAAACTTCTTCCCCTAATTGAAGACATTCAAACAGGCAAATAACGGTTCAACACAGTGAAATGAATTCCGAAACAACTGCGAAAAACTAGTCTAAGTCTTGTGATGCTACAGCAAATCTTACCTTGCTGATAATATTTCGAAAATTTTCCATCACAGAGTCTTCAGATAAGGAATGTTCATACGTCTTAAACAACTCTATCAGCTTTTTCATGCTCTTGTCAGTGTATGATAGCTGAGAGAGGCAATAGGAGATGTATTCGCATAGCCTAACATCTGCATAAAAAATAAAAAGGATGTCAACATGCAAAAGTTTCTCCGGTGATAATTCAAATAGTAACTAAAAGCTATCTATTCACTAAAATCTCTCCACTTTAAGGCTCTCCTAATTATAATTTTCTTTTAAATTCTTGTAAAGGCAATCATAATTTAGTAAACAAGCCCACTATAACAGCATAGAGAGCTGACTATGACAGCAAATATCAAATGACGCTCCCACAAAGTAGTGGACCAAATACTGGATGACTGGCAACTCTTCAATCAATCTCAAATAAGTATATTAGCCTCTTTGAAGCTCGCAGAAACCCAGCTCAAACGACAACCGCTTTATCTTTGAAAAGCAGAGCAAGCAGGGCTTATCGAGTAGAGTCTGTAAATTCTAACAATCAATGCGGCGACTTGCCTAGCAATAGCAAGCGCAAGCTGGCATCGTGATTCATCCACAGCAGAGTGAAACCTCACAGAAAGATCCATGTTTTCGCATATAGTCTCAAGCAAGTATATGTAAACAGACCAAACCCAGGGCAGAAGCAGACTAATTCTAACTAACTTCTTAAGTTTAGCACACTGTAAACAGTGTAAATTTAGAGAACAGATAACACTATCCTTGCAAAATACAAATACCTGCTACATTTTCTCTATTCTTCTACATGGTTGATCTATAATTGACAAGTTTATATTTAGATCATAGTACATAAATTCTTGGAGACAAATCAAAACAATGTTCAGATTACATACCCGTAACTCCACTAAATCTATGGCAAAGCTTTTCGACAAGAGCTTCCATTTGCTTGTCCTAAAAATACAACCATTTTAATCAATCCCATTACAAAAAAGAGCCCAAAGAAGCAAGTCAGATTCATGGTACCTTCTTAATTGAACCAATTAAAAATTGCATGATGTTGCAGAATGATTCTTCTTTCAAGTTCTGGCTAGATAACTTGCCAAGGATATCTGGAAGCAGGTTATAAATAGGATTGTTTCCTGTAAACAGAAGTTTAAAGAAAAGCAAAAAAACAGTATTATTTGATGTGCACACGCAACATGCTACAGCAGAGCGAAAGAAGCTCTACAGTAGAAAGGCTAGAAGAGAGATTAGATAGATTAACTTCTTTGTTAGCAACTGATGATAGAAAAGTTGGGTGGATATACTACCTTTCTTTGACAACTCATGAAAGAAAAGTTTGGCTAGATTTGAAATTCTTTCATCTTCATCTTCCAAACAGATGGCCATTTCATTTATGTAACCTTTCACCTAGAGATGATACATACAAAACAAGACGCTAAAAAATATGACAAGAAAGCTAAATGCACATGTATGATAATCCAGTCAAACCTTCATCATGTCATTCAGTATCAGATGAGAAAGAACCAATACAGCATTCTTTCTCACAGAAACTGATGGATCTCTTAATCTTGCATACGTGTGCTCTGTCCATGGCTCTAACAGATTAGGAAAACGAACTGCCAGATCTCCAAGAGCAACAGTGCAATTTGATCGAACAGTTTCAGAAGGTGCATTCTCCACAACAGTGAAAAGAAGCTGGAGATTTGCATCACTAGGAAGTTACATAGACACATGTTTAGAATTTTTTTTCCACAACTTAAGTAATAAAACCAGAAAACGGGAATTGAGAAAAAAGGCTAACCAGAAGTCTGCGTCAATTATCATAAATCGACATAATGCAAGCATTCCGGATGCTTGCAGTTCAGGGTACTGGAAGAAATACAAAAGATATATCAGTATCCACTAAATGATGCTGGATTGAGAATACTGATTAAACAATGAAGTAAACTGTCCTTGGGTATATGAATAGAGTTTGGAAGGTTCTATTTTTTCCTTAGATTATTGAAACTTGTGCTGCTCTTTAAGTGCTTGATAACTTATAAAATCCAAAGCCGAGGCATCCAAGTAACATATTGATAGTACATAAAACAAACATTTCACATTTGATCTCTAATGCGACTTAACACTTATTAACTTAATCTGAACAAAAGTACATCCTTCACAGCTATGTTGCGCGGACTTCAGAACTACATAGACAGTCAGTCAAACTACCTTAAAGATTCATACTGGTCCATCTGATTATGGAGATTCTTGTGAGTTAAACAAGGAGCAAAAATCAAAAGGATTGATATTGTTCCGGTGTTTGAAAGCATAAAAACATAGACAGTGTAGGTATAACAATCACCTTCTGCATCAAACTGTAATTCCTACAGAGTTTAGAAAGAAAAGGTGCACAATAGCCAATCAAGTTTCTTTCACGAGAACCACCAGATACAATTTCTTTCTCTGCTCTTTCAGATAGTGTATCGAGGAACGCATCTTCAGAAGCTGCAAGACCTAACTCTGCATTGATACCATTATCCTGCAACAAGAAGAAGAAATATTATAATGTATTTAAAGTTGAAAATGGCTGCAGACTTAATCAAAAAGATCATTGTGCCTTAAGATCCTTTTCACCTTCTGTGCACCAGTATTATCTGTGCAATCACTCTTATCCTCAGTAACCATTTTCTCTCTCTTTGCTTTTTCTTTCTGAATCTTGCGGACCGAAGACTCGATGTAAACCAATTGGTTCATAGCTACATGGCTTACGACAAAAAGAAACCTACTGAGTTTTGTCACTTGAACTGTGGTTAGCATATCGGAGCTACCATTTTGTAGCTCATCCCCTCCACTACAATCAAATACAGAACTAAGAGATTTCTTCACCAGATCAGCAGCCATTTTGTCAGGATACGGATGGATAGTATATATAGTAGCTATTGCTCTATCTGCAGCAGCATACCATATATGTTCAGGAAGCCAAAAGCCAGTAACTAAGCTTTCTAAGATACTAAATACGCGACTTCCATTAGTGGATAACAATTTTTTCCTGTCCTCTTCAGACAGCCTCTGAATAGCAAGACATGCTGTCCTAGCAAGTAAAGGTTCCACTTTTGCCCAACGCCCAAAGCCTATGTCAATGATGTCTTGTAAGTGAGAGCTGAGAACAGCATTTGATGTTTTTGCTGCCATGCATAAAATAGATAAAGCACCACGACTTTGTTCTGCAGTTGTTCCAGCGATATTAAAACAGAAGAAATCCCATAATGCTGACAACTGCAATATTAAATGAATCACTATTAAAGTTTTCCCTTAAGCTTTAAGCAACAAAAAAAATGAGTGAGGTATCAGATAAGTAAAGCTTATCCATTTGTTATGAGGATGGGTTAATTCACATTAAATCAAAGTGAGTTGAGGAAAGGCAATATAGCTTATTGAAATCAATAGAGTTGACACTTTCAATTCATGACAGAGATATTAAGCTTATAGCACCATGTTGATAAATAAAGGAGCTTCTAAGACATTAACTACTCCTTGTATGAATGAGAAAAGATGACTCACTTGCCATTTTTGTCAGGTTGCAAATTTCTAATACAATAAATTATTGGGCCTTTGTCAAGTCTATGATAAATTGTTAGATAACTGAGCTCTTTATCAGTATCAAGTTTCAAATTATATGAAAAGATGATTCCTTCACAAATCCTTAATTTGTTATACTGTCAAATGATCCCACATTGCCACACAAGACATAACCGTTCCAGCAAGTCAGCAATGATTTCAGTTTAAATGTGTGAAATAACCACTTATAGTCCAATAGCAGATCATTGTTTAGGTGATTAAATCTATTAAACCTGGATAGAAGGATAAATAACACTTTTCGGAAATAATGATAATATTTATCCCATGAATGCACATTACAACACTTAACCCATGCCTCTCTAGCTTATGCTTAACAACAATTTCTAAGGCTAGTAAATCAGCAATTATCATCCAGTAAAATACACATCTGATTTTCATTTCCTAAAAACAATTTAAGAGAATTAAATTATGGCATTTTCCCTCCAAAGAAGCTCCTCAAAGTAAGAAAGGAAACCATTCTACCATGCTTAAAAAAACAAATCTTACAACTTCTTGAGTCACACCTTACTAGATTTCTGATTTAGAAATTCACAAAATGAAAAGGATTGGAATAATTTTACAGATTACATACTGTGCTAGTCGTTAAATCGCCCTTGGACATTAAGGCTCCAATTAGGAATTCCAATGCAGCAAGATCTCCGATATTTGAATCTATAGCAAGATTCAAGAGATTCTTAGCAGTTTCCTCTGGATGCTTCCTAACATATATTATAATGAAAGCATTCTCAACAGCTTCATAAATTGCTTTGTCTTGTGAAAATACCTGCAGGTGTGCTTTATTAGGTCAGATTTTTTAATAAAGCTCATTAAAAATCATACAATAAAGGACATTGGAATTGGACGTGCTCCAATCAGACAAAGTTAGCATTACCAGTGGCAACATTTTCCGGAGGCAGGCTTCGGAACCATCTACTTGGAACTGTCTGCATCTCATCAGCAGAAGAATTGTGTTCTCCACATCAGTGGCAGAAGATGAGGCCATTAATTGGACAAGGGTTGGCATTGTGGCAGACACACAATTGGAAAATCTCAAACCTGCCTCCAGCGATGCAACCAAGGTCCTTGTTTGCTCCAGATTCCCAACATCTGGGACAGAATCATCATCCTTCTGGCCTATCAGATCTTCCTCATGAGGCAAGAAGCTGTCGGTCAGACTATTATCCTGTTCCTTGTTCATCCCTTCACCCACATCGTGGACCTCGCCATCTCCATTACTAGTTTCATCATAGGAAGGCAATTCATCCAAAACACTTGTTGACTGAGCCTTCGGTCCTAGGTCATCTAACTTTTTCTTGTATTGTTTTAAGGTTGCTTCAAAAGATGTTGCTCGAAGCTGGGGTCCAAAGGGATTGTGCTGCAACATTATAATAAGGAGACTGAGTGCAGATTTTCTGACAATTGCACTCTTATCCTCTAACCTCCCAGCTGCTACTGCTGCAACTTCATTCCACATGCCTATCGGAACTGAATGCTCTTCACATAATTCAGCCCAGACTTGAAGCACTCGACTCCTTGTATAGGCTGACACATCCCTGCAACGTTCCAACAAGATTTCCAGCATGGCCTGTTTGGTTCGGAGACGAATGGATTTAGAACTCACTTCAAATTCAGTGTCATCAAAAGCCTTCATGACCAACTTACCCAACACCCCAACAAGAGCATTTCTTATTTTATAAGATTCACCTCCAAAATGTGGGATTAATAAGCCAATATTAGTTGAGACCAACTTTGGCATTTTATCAGCGAGCTCTACGAGAAAGCGCCCAACATTTTCAGCCCCTACAGTATCCTTCACATAGTCTTTCGGGGCTGTCCTCCCTATCTCTCTGATAAGAGAAGACGCCACGCTACCATCAGCATACTTCTTCTCAGCCCAAGCAACCGCATCAGCCAAATGAGAAACTGCAAAATCATATTTGTGAACCAGGTGCAAAATTGAAGCACATGATTGTGCAGCATAGTGGTATTTGATAGCACATGTCCCAATTATGCGAGTCAAGGCATCTTTTGCCTCTGAATCTTTTAAGACTGTCGCATTCTCAAATATCGAAAAAGCATTCCTACAGCAAACACATCATCAGATTTGGTTAGTATTTGATCCACTAATAGAGAATCAAAAAAAAACGCCCTTACCTCACAATGAAGGACAAGTAATTTTCATCAAGATCTGATGATCCAAAGAGCAGTGAGAGGTTGATCTCTAATGAATTTGCAACCAAGTTCAGTATCCTTGCCCTTTGCGGCTCCCAATTCCACGCACTGACAAGTTGCTTCTTCCGACTACTAGCAACAACCTAAACCAGCCAACTGTACTCTCAATTGCCAGTATGATACAAAAAGGAACATATACTTCCAAAGAAGGGCTATAATGGAAATAAATACACAGAGGACATCACAAAATTAACTAAGCTCAAATTCTACTAGAGTCCCTTGAGAAATCCCCGAAGTTACAACCATCAATATAACAGCCTTACTTCAATCAGTTTTAATACTCCTATCAACTACACATGCAAATTCCAATATTACATTACCAGCAAGAAGACACACTCATACATGCAGTTGCATTGACTAAAATCAGTAAATTCATCACAACTAATTCAAAACATTCCACCTTCACAAACATGCTACATGCATCAAACATACACACGGAATAAGATAAAGAAAGGAGTTTACTTTTGTTTTGTTGTTAGAACTAGAGTTGGACTCCTCAATGAGCACAATATGAACGAGGAAGAAAGTGTAAATCTTGAAAGCATTTCGATATGATGCCACTCGATCAGCAAGTGAACGCTCATCCTCCTCCTCCTCCTCACTTTCATTAGCATTTCCCTCCTTTTGCTGAGACACCCTCCAGAGTGAATCCACAGTAGGGAGCAGTACGCTAAGATTGGACCTAAGAGACTCCACTAGATTGAGCTTACAACCAGGAGTAAGGCAAGCAAACTCCTTCACCAGTGAATACACGCGATCAAACACTTCCTGCTCCTCCACGCAGAATAGCTCTTTGTCAGATAGGTCGAAGGAGACACCTGTTTACACAACAACAACAACAACTCAGTCCCAAACAAGTTGAGGTCAGATATATGATTCCTCACTTCTCCATTTAAGCGCAACTCATCACATGTCAATACCAATTTGATTTTCTTTAAAAAAAATTGAAGATTTAGAGAAACAAGGCCGGAAATAGAAAAAGAATGAGAACCCAGTTGAAAAAACAAAAAACAAAAAACATGAGAATCCAGTTGAAAAATTGAAACAAGAATGAACTAGTTGAAAGAATGGGGAAAAAACAATGAGAACCCTCAATTGTAAAATTCAAAAGAAAACAATAGGAAAAATCGAAAAACGAACCAAAATTTGGTATGCAATATGGAGGAAAACTGACCTTTGACGAATTCTTCTAATTGAGAAGGAGGGAGAGTGGTGAGTGAAGTAGGATTTTGAACACTGAGGCGATTGCTATCAATGTCGGAGTCTTCCACTTCCTCTTCCAGAGAATGTAAATTTTGGGGAAATACGAAAGGTGGAGCCATTTAAGAGCGAGGGTTTGAGGATCTCTGAGTAGAGAAAGAAGGTGGGATTTCCTGATCTGATTTTGAATTGAGAAAGTTGTCGCAGAAAGAGAACCAGCGGTTCGATGGGGATGAGAGAGGGGTGGGGGAGTTTGAAATGGAAAATGTGGATGGACGAGAGCGGGAAGAGAAAAGGCACAATTATTTGAGCTTTCTTTCTTTTTCTTTTTTCTTTTTTTTTTTTTTTTTTTGAGAATAGGAGCATTTTATTTAGAGGAATTTGCAGAAATGACTATTCCCTCCGGTCCAAAATAAGTGATTTTTTGGATGTTTTCACACAAATTAAGAAATTCACCTTTTAGTATTAATTAGCAATAGAATTGACCATATTAACCTTTACTATCTCACATAAATACTACTAACACATATTCCAACACCATTTACTTCAAGGACAATGTAGGAAAAAAATAATTAATTCATTCTTGAAATCTGAAAAAATCACTTATTCTGGACCACAAGAAAAAGGCCAAAAAATCACTTATTTTGGACCGGAGGGAGTATTGTTTAGTGCTAACTTCGAGAAGTTTTATTGTGTGTTTCACACAACTAACTATTGTTAGTTGTGTGATACTTTTTTCTCTCACAAATTTGTGGATCTCAATCTTACACTTCTGGGTCTACCAAACTGTGAGACAAAAAAGATGCCTCATACAACTAGTGTCAGTTGTATGAGGCACAAAATAAAATTTTTCATTAACTTCCTATAGCTACCGTATACATAATTACTTTCCGTAGCTACCTTTCAGTTGCTATGGTAATGTATTCGATGTATTCGAGCTACTATATTCATGAATACAGTAGCAAAAATTGACTAAAAAAAGGCCAGTTCAACTGTATTCATACCATGTATTCATGAACACAACATAATAATAGGTCTCTTCAGTTGTTTAATAACGGAAAGCTGCTAATTTAACGGGATACACTCCTAATATAACTCACCTAATCAATTATAACACGTAACATTATCAATCTAATGAGAAGATTTATCAGACGCTAAACACCAAAAAAACAGAGCATTCTTTAGAGTTTCAGTCCCTCTTTTTTTTTCTGATACAATTCAAGATTTTTTTTTCCCTGACATTATTCGATGTATTCAAGTTTATTTTTGTATTCACAATATTTTATTCATTCCTAATACATGGTATTACTGCTTTATTGGGTATATTTCATTGGTTGTATTCATTGATTTTCTATTTGTATTGAGAGTATTACTGTATTCCATTATATTGTTGTTTCAAGTACAGATGGATACAGTTAGGTTGAAAATACAGATGAATATAGTTAGATTGAATGCATAACTAATTGATGAATAACATCAAAATGATAGAACTAACGATGTATTTAAAAATATTGTTGTATGAACTCAAATCATATAAATACATCTAAATACAACAGTCAAAAATCACTGTACAAAATAAAAATCAGTGTATGCCTTATCGAATACATGTAAATACATCTAAACACAAGAAGAGAAAACGACTGTACAAACTAAAAAAAAACCAAACCTAATCATAATCTAATTAGTCGCTGCCATTGTCTCCTCTATCCTTTCCTCTCCCATGTCAACATTCAAAATCAATTCAGCAAAACCACTGAACACTGGATAATATCTCCTCCGTCAATACACTGAAAAAAAATCAAGTTGAGTTCTTTGACTTTATGGGTGATGACGAAAAAGACTCAGACAGTAACATCGGATGAGAAACAGTGTTTGAAGGCGAAATCAAGGTGGAGTTTTGATATGCTGTTGCTGTTATGGTGCAAGTTTATAAGGGATTTTTCAATAAATTTTCGACATCACCCATCCGCAAAATCTATTTTAGGGTTTGAGAATAATCTAGAGAGAGAACCGGCAAATAAACGAGAGAATCGTGGTTCAACTATGGGGAAGACAATGGTGTTGTGAAAGAGAGATCGTGTAGTGAGAAACAAGATACTATGCGGTAATTTTGGGAGAGAATAAACTTAAAGAATGAGAGAGAGAAATATTAGACAGCGTATTTACTGGCTTAATTGTAAGAAGTGATCATAAATACATATTTTGCTATAAAAACTAAAAGGTAACTACAAAACATAATATTTTAAAGGGATTTTTATTTATAATAAATAAGAGTGTAAAGCTTTGCTATAGGAGCCAATTTCCTTCTAATTATAGAAAACTAAAGTAGTGCAGTGCTATTACAAGCCCCATTGACACTTCCATAGATGCCCTTGATGGCATCAATATTTCCTAGTTCAGTTAGGCTATTACAAATATTAAACGACATATTACGTATTACAACAATACCTTTTTAGTTCTCCAGCATCCTGGACTCGACAAAAGTAGGTGGACTATTATAACATTAAAGTTTATTTATAGTAGATTGTCTTGATCCTTCCCTTGCCATTTGATGAGCAGTTGCATTCCCTTCCCTGCAACTATGCCTGAGAACCACTTGCCCCATTTTGACCATTAGCCATCTACAATAAAAAATAATATTATTGTAAGTCATAAATCCTTTTTCGAGGTAATATATAACATCCGTAGAGTCTGTTTCCACTTCTAGTGGAGTGAAATTGTGTGCTTCTGCAAAGATAATCCTTGGTGGATTGCTTGAAGTTCAGCATGAATGGGAGAATCTGCGTATATTGACTTTATGAATTCAAACGACCAATTTGAATCGGCATCTTTGATGAGTCCGCCTATCTCTGAATTGGTGTGCCACTTCGAAAAGCACCATCAACATTAAGTTTGAACCATCCTATTGGAGGTGCATGCCATTTAATTTCTCCTAAAGTATGTATTTTTTGCTAACAATTTTAATTATTTTTCTCTACTTGTTGTATTTTAATTGCATCATTAATTAACAAAAGTCCAAAGAAAAATCTTTTACTTGTGCATTTTAGCTTGCATCTTTAAATTAATAATAATATATCAAAAGATTTTTTTTCTATTTGTGCATTTTCAAAATTAATTAGTGGTAGAAGAGGGACTAAGGGATTGGGCTGTTTTGTCCAAAAGTCCAGGTGAATCGGAAAAATTGCACGGGTGTCTTATTTGGTCGTCCCCATTTAACATATACCCACTTTTTAAAAAAGTTTTAAATTGTACCAATTTTTTAAACAACTTCGGGCCTCTTTCTTCTTCTCCTCCTCCTCCTCCTTTGTCTTCTTCTTCTTCTTCTTCTTTGGGTGACAGTGATTTTATGTGGTGTTTGTGAATATAATTTAAGGTAGTTTATGATGTTTTACAGTTGTGAGCTGTTATGACGCTTTAGTTTTTACTATTGCTTAGGGTTTCTTCTTCTTTTTCTTAATTGCAAAATGAGTTCATTAAATTTATTGTTGTTTTGACAAATTGATGATTGGGGTTTGTTCCTGATGATGTTTGGAGGCTATGTTTCAAATTTGAGACCATTTGGAGTAGATTTAGGCATTAAATCGTATATTGGATTGTTATAATTCGAAGAACAAATTTCTATTTCTGGAATTTGCACTTAAGGCCTATCTGGCCTTATGTGCAAAAACGTTGGTTGCACTTTTGATCTTTTGGCCTTAAGTACATATGAAGTGCAATTTTTCACTTTAGACTTATTAGCCTTAAGTGTAGCAAAACGGTTGTTGCACTTTAGACCTTTTGGCCTTAAGTGCATTTGAAGTGCAATTTTTCACTTCAGACTTATTGGCATTAAGTGCATGAAACCATTAGTTACACTTTAGACCTGTTTGGCCTTAAGTGCATCTCAAGTGTAAAATTTCACTTCAGACTTATTGGCCTTAAGTGAAGGAAAACGTTTGTTGCACTTCAGACTATTTGGGCTAAAGTGCATCTGAAGTGCAATTTTTCACTTCAGACTTATTGGCCTTAAGTGCATGAAACCATTGGTTGCACTTTAGACCTATTTTGCCTTAAATGCATTTGAAGTGAAATTTTTTCATTCAGACTAATTTTTTTTAATTTTAAACCCGATAGGTCTGAAGTTAATCGTAAAGTGGGTAGGCTTGCAAACTTTTTTGCAAATGGATATAGGCTCAATTGTAACGCCAAAACCGGGTATAGAGCAAAAGCCCCAAGTGAATTTGGGAGAAGTTTAACAATTCGAAGGCCCGAAATCCGGTATAACCCGGTGCAACAAGCGGTTGATCAAGAATGGGTTAAACGACGTACTTTTAGTCAAAACTACCTCGTTTTGACTCATAATAGGTCAAAGAAACTTTTAGCATATTCGATATGTGTGAGTAATGTGGGAGTGACGTAAATTTACCAAAAGAGAACATTCAGTAAGACAAATATATCATATAGATATTAACTAGATTACATATTAATGAATTTAGAGACTTTAGTCGTTATTTTTTCCTATTTCTCGAGACGACAAAGCATTGCGTGTTTTTTAATTAGATTTGTTATTATCGGGATCAGATAAATGGTTGATCAATTACATCAGCTAGGGAAGAATCAGGTTCTCTTCATTGACGGGATCACATAATGATTGAATAATTGTATGTAACGATTCGACCGGTCGTTTTGAGCTTTAGTGCTCCATTCGATGATTTAAGGTCTTGAGTAGCTTCGTGTTATGCATTTTGACTTGCGTGTATGGCCGGTTACGGTTTCCGGGCTATTTGGGATTGATTTGGAAGAATGATTCTTGTTTTAGATGCTTAAGTGGTAAGAGTTGACCGAAGTTTGACTTTGGGTAGACGACTCCGGAATGGTATTTTGATGATTTCAATAACTTCGTATGGTGATTTTAGACTTAGACGTATGTCTGTAGGATGATTTGATGCATTTTGGCGAAAGTTAGAAAGTTGAAGGTTTGGAAGGTTGAGAGGTTTGATCGGAGTTGATTTTGTTGATATCGGGTTCGTATTGTGATTCCAGGAATCAGTATAGCTTCGTTGTGTCATTTGGGACTTGCATGCAAACTTTGAGCTTATTCGAAATTGGTTTGATATGTTTCGGCATTAGTTTAAGAAGTTGAAAGTTCATTAGTTCATTAGGCTTGAATTGAGGTGCGATTCGTAGTTTTGATATTGTTTGATGTGATTTAACGCCTCGACCAGGTCCGCTTTATGTTATGAAACTTGTTGGTATGGTTAGAAGGTGTCCCGGGGGCCTCGGATGAGTTTC